CCGCTGGGGGAGCCATTAGACGACACTGGAAGGAAAAGACCTCGGTGTCCTCCAATCCCTCCACCTCACCAAGCTGGCCTCGTGCCCACCCTGCCACAACTGCCAGGCAGGTTGGGGAGGAAAGAGAGGGTGCAGCCCCCTGGCCACACACACCCTGGGAAGAAACCGCCCTACTGCCCATCCCGCTCGGCCCTTGGTGACTAGCAGAGGAGGCCCAGGGGGGAGGGGGCGGGGTGGGGGGAACAGCCGGGTACCTAGCTCGGCCACGGTAGCTGCGCAGCCCGACAGGAGGAATTTGCTCGCTCGAGGCCATCTCTGGGCGAGCGGCAAACGCTTCTCCTCATCCTCCCGCGGGGACATTCAGCAGCAGAGCAGGACGACAATGCACCCCTTCTTGCTGGCGCCCTGATGGCTTGCCACCCTGCCAATCTGCCAGGGCGGTCCGTCTTCAACCGGCGAGTGGCCAGGCGAGGACCACTGCCCACGGTGCGCTCGGCCGGAACCCGGGAACCTGCAGCTCTGCCCAGCTGCCCCAGGCTCCAGTGGACAGCGCCCCCGCAGCCCACAGCGGGAAAACAAAGCGGGCGCCCGCGAGGCTTCTGGGACTTGTAGTTCGCGGGCGCCACGCCTCCCGGGCCGCGTCCTGGGATTGGCTGGGCGCGCTGGCACCCCCAGTCTCCATGGCAACAGAGTCTCCCCGGAGTCCCCAGCGGGTACCCAGCGGGGGTTTGTGCCAGCGAGGTAGGCCGGGTTTAGAAAAGGAGGCATCCTTTAAAGGGCGAATTAGGGAGAACGGAGTTCCGGAGAACAAGTTGCAGAAGTTGCAGCAGAAAATTGAGCCCGTGCGCTAATTTAGTGGGAGGAGCAAAGACCAGCGCCATAGCACTTGACCGGTTCTGATTCGGAAAGCGCCGGACAAAAAGATGGAACTGTTTTTCCCAACAATGAGTATAATCCTAGGTTGCGTTGCTCTTTTATTACTGCTCCAGTGGAAGAATTTCCGTGGACCCCCGTGCATCGGGGGCTGGATTCCTTGGATCGGAGCTGCATTTGAATTTGGAAAGGCCCCTCTAGAATTTATAGAGAAAGCAAGAATCAAGGTATGTGATCGGGGGCCCTTGGTTTCTCTGGAGAAGGTAATGTTTTCTTGTTTTATTTTTTTTCCCCCCACTGGATCTAAAGGGAATTGATATAACTTGGGGTGAAGTTTGGGGGTGGGACTTGGGGGCGAGCGTGCTTGCCTTCCAGAGACTCTACAAGCCGGTGGGAAAGTGCAGACCTCA